AAATATGTACAAATCTTCCACATCTTCGATGGAAAATGGTGCCAAACAGATGAGGTTCCAGCCTCAGGAACCACTGTCCCGACCAGCAGCAACCATTCACTGGGACAGCTACGTTCCCCTCGTTCCAATCTCAATGTGGAAAATATAGTGTCAATTGCGTTCAGAGACCAGTTGAACAAATCTAAAATTCCTTTTGTTTTCGGATGATGGGTAGAAAAAAGTTTTGAAAAAGCTGCAAAGCAGGAAAGGAGGGACAGGTTTGGAAGAGAGCAAAAAGTGTCTGACTCCTCTGAAGGCCAAGCAAAAAAAAAAGGATGGATGAATGGATGGACAAATGGATGGGTGGAGGGAAGGATGGGTGGATGCGAGGACAAATGAATGGGTGGATACATGGATGAATGGATGGAGGAAGGAAGTACTGAAGGATGGATGAATGGATGGATAAATGGATGGATTGATAGACAAATGATTGATGGATGGATAAATGTATGTATGGATGTATGGATGGATGTAAAGAAGTACTGAAAGATAAGGAATAACAAATGGACGAGTAGTTAGATAGGTGGATGGGGGACAATGGTGGATAGATAGATGGATGAATGATGTACGGTTCTAATTGTTGTTTAAATATTCTTGTAAATTTATGCTGTATCATCAATCCACCTGGAAAACAAACAACTTGATTGAATCAAAGCCCAAACATTCATGTACATCTCTGAATACAACAGTGAACATTTACTGGGCTTCACTAGTTTTTGTAGTTTAGTTTTATACTTCTTCCAAATATTGTAAATCAGTTCTTAAATTGAGCCAATCTCAAATCAGTGCTGTCTCATCATGATAAAACCCACAGCTGAGTGCTTTTTGGCAGATACGTTGAAAGGTCTGATGAAMGTGGACCCAGAGCCGCGAATGCATCATCTGTTTAAATCACTGCTCCTCCCTTCAGCCTGACAGAGAAAATGAGCTAATCACGTGGCTTTTGGCCTCCTTGTATGCTTTGGCTGCACCACGACTGCTGATGAAAATGGAATTCTGCCATTCCATCAGGCTTTGAAAGGAAATAAAACGTGGAGTAAAAACACTTGAATATGATCTGACAGAGGCAAGAAAATGCTCATTTCTAACAGGGTTTCTAAGATTTTATTCTAAACAAGAAATTTGACTAAAGAGATAATAAAAAGGGTTTTGTTTAAGGCTATGTGCAGTTAATATCTTACCTGCTGTAGATTGCTCCTTAATGACCTCAATTTGGAGAAATCAAATTAAATACTAACAAGACAAATGAGCTAGCAGCTAGCCATTAGCTCATCCATCTAGTCTGAAAATTTGGTTTTCTCCAAACTGAGGTTGTTCAAAGTGCCATCCACAACAGGTAAGATAATAATGGGCCATAACCCTTCCAGAAAACCTTACAGAAATTGAAATCTGTTTAAAATGACTCTTTTTTTTATTACTCTTCCATTTTTTTGTGACAATGTCAATTGTTGTATTTATAAACAACCATTTTTCTTTTTGTACTTTCGTTGTTTTTGAGCTGGCGCCGTAGCTGGGCTCGACCGCCTTCGAGCATCAACAAACCAAACTGCCTCCCGTGAGTGGTTTGTTTGTTTGTTTGTGTGTCTGGATTTAAAGACATGTGGGCGTGATAAATGTGTTGTAGGAGAACCGTTCTGGGCTCTGTTAGGATCTGCTGTGTGTAGACTGAGTCTCCCGCCTTGTTCTTCTGAACTGAAGCAGGTCATGGTTCTGATAGTCGAAACCTTTGTATGCAGGAGGTCGACGCTTTGCTTTCTTATTAGAGTCATAAAACAAGTTTGGATGCTCAGGTTTTCTCTGCAGACTTTGTTTTCTCCCAGAGTCTTCGGCTGTGAAAGTAAAAAATATGTAATCCATAACTTAGAGTTAAAGGTAAATTGGAAAAAATAGATATTTTAATCTCAGAATCACTAGATGGTGTCTTTGTGGACTGCCATTGTTTTCATATCACACATCCAGCTAAATATAATGAAGACATAACAAATAAAGACCTTTGTTCTGWAGCAAACAGAGATTTTGAGCTGCTTCAGTTGCAGCCTTCACTTCCGTAATACATGGAGAGTGACGTTACGCCAGAGACTCGATCAGGCTGTAGGCAGCTGCAAGGACAGGCAGTCTCATAGTGAAAACCCCACCGCTGCCGATCTAACAAAGAAACCCTCAACTGTTTACTGTGAGGACTGGAGTTATTGGTCAAACACCAAAAACTCTACAGGAAGAAGGAAAAGACATGGAAATTAAAGGAATTTTGGCTGTGGTAAATACACAGCGAGATTGGGAGATATTTGTGATATTTAGCATATTTGAGTTTTATAGTTATGGTTTAGTTTAGTGATTGATTAGTCAGTTTTAGTGTCTTTGAGTCAAACCAATGAGGCTAATTTTGAACATGGAGCTGAGGGTTTGGTTTCAGGTGAGGGGCAGCACCGCAGAGTCTAAACCTTCTGCCCCAGTGRTGTCAAAATCATTTTCACTGAGGGTCACAAGGGCATTATGGTGGCCCCCAAAGGACCAGTTGTGATTAACCTAAACGTTTCATGTTTAACTTCAACTAAACAGGAAACATCACGTTCCTCGCTTCATTGCTACGTCTGAGAACCACTGAAAAAAGATTACTGAGCTCTATGTGGTATTTTCTGTATAGAAACATTACTGACACAATGCATTCTGGGGATGATGATGAGTGATGTTTAGTGAGTTAGGTCTGGAGTTTAACCATCCATCCATTCATCCATCCATCCATCCATCCATCATCCATACATCATCCATCCACCCATCCATCCATCCATTCATCCATCCATCCATCCATCCATCCATCCATCCATCCATCCATCCATCCATCCATCCATCCATCCATCCATCCATCCATCCATCCATCATCTGTACATGCTTCTTCCTTTCAGGGCCGCGAGGATCACTGGTGTCCATATCCAGCAGTCAAAGTGTGAAGGGCAGGGCACACCCTGGACAGGTCGCAAGTCCATCACAGCTTGAGTTTGAACCAAATACATAATAATATATGTGTTGTATGGGTTGAAATGATTAGTGTTGTGATGTTTAGTAAACTGGCTCTGGAGATAATACTGTATTATTAGTTCAGGTGCAAACACAATTTGTTGCTATTTATATATATTAATTCATGGAGCTAATGTGAAAGCTAAATGCTAAAGCTGATGTTCTCCGTCCATGAAGCACCTCTGTTGTTCAACATTTAGGCTGGATAGAGCTCGCACTGGAGCACCTACATCATCAATTACCCAGAATGCTTTGCGGCTGAAATAAAATGGCAATGTCTGGGTGACAATATACTTTAATTTACAAAAAGTAAAAATCTTGTAGTTTTTACATTCTGTTTTTTATAGTTGAAATAAATGTTTAACAAATTATGATTAATGTTACGACTAGTCTGAGTTCCCTTTAAGACATTAATATCTGAAGCTCTCATGGGCCACATAAAATGCAGGCGGGCCTGCAAGTTTGACATGGGTTCTACCTGTGAAGAGCACCTGGAACTGTAAAGGTGGGTGTTGGACTTTAAGAGAATAAAGTAAATAACTAACTATGCTCTGCAAAAATGATAGATTCTTCTTGATCTCAGTTAGACAGTAGATCTGTGATTTCAGTTGGATGTAGAGTCTGATTTCATGGTAAGACTGGTAGAAAGGTAAAAAAAATACACAAAATCGTTCATACATGCTGTTATTAATGCAACGTAAYGAACAAAAAATGCAAGTCAAACATCTTTTGCAAACACTATTGTTCTTTTTGTTCTCAAGTAACATTTGTATTTGTCCCACTGCATTAATTGTTCACATATAAATACTTGGTGGTTTCCTTTCATATGTTGGTTCCGTTTGCAGCCTTCTTTATTGTGCAGCTGGAACAATATCTCTGGAACCAAACGGCAGTTTGCAGCAGTTTATTTTCTAATTCCTGGAGCAACCCTAAACTTAAAAGTCTACGGATGTTTTAATTGCACTGAGCTTGTATGAAAATCTGGTTTCCTTCTTTGATTGAAAATGCAAAACTACAGTTAAGACGGGATGTGTTGTTTTGTTGTTAAAGGCAGAATAAACAGGGAGCACAAATGGTACAACACTGGTTTTRTTTAGTGTATTTTCAGGCTCTGAGTTGCAGTTAAACATGTATGGGTATTTTATATTTGTCTCACCCSGACTCACCCGCAGGACACCGGAGGAGTTTACACCCACCTCTGCAGATCATACATATGCAGAAATGCAAATGAAACTTAGGTCTCTGAACACACTTGGCCTCAATAAATACAATGCGTCAGAACAGGGAGGCCATAAATATACATCGTTCCATAAATCCCCTTTGGTTGTCTTTGATTTACTAACATGGCAACAATTGTAGTTTAATGCTTAAATTAGCATTTTGGTGCTTGGTAGTCCATCATCGGTGTATATTTTCAGGTGCCAACAGGAAAACCCAGAGGGATCAAAACCAGCTTAACACAGGATAACATACTTAATGACCAAACAGAAAAAAAAGACCATAAAAACTAACTGAAACACAGAAACTAAACAGATATCCAGGACTGTATCTGTTACATCAGAAGAGGATATCTCAGAGAGCCCATCAGATCTTATTAGAAAGTTTTATTTTTACCAAAAAAATCTCACCTGCATYTCTGAAATGAAATACTTTCAGAAATGTGTACATAATTACAGTAATATGGTTTTGTATTCAGCACAAAATAAGGGTTTTATCCCATGGAGGCACACGGTGGTCTGTATTATTTGTCATTTTCTCCAATTGGATTTATTTTGTGTGATCAGAAAACAGTGTCATTACCAGAAAAAGGGTCCACGGGGTCACCGTTAATGGAAGACTGAAAATTCTGAAATGCATTACTATTGGAGCTSGATGGACTTGGAAACAGTCTGAATTCCTTCTATTTGCCTGCTTTTTTTTGTTTGTTTCTCCCCCCACCCCTCCAGGGGTCTCYGTCAGCATCTCAACCTTCAGCCTGGTGGCCATCGCTATTGAGAGGTACAGCGCCATCTGCAACCCCCTCAAGTCACGAGCGTGGCAGACCCGCTCTCACGCCTACCGGGTAATCGCTGCCACTTGGGTGGTGTCGCTGCTGATCATGGTGCCGTATCCTGTCTTCAACATCCTCAAGTCGTTCCCAAAGGTCAACGGTACCAAGGGCCACCAGTGTCGCATGTACTGGCCCAGTCCGCAAGTGGAACAGACCTGGTAAGTGCACATCCATTCATCATCTTCCAGGTCACAGGGGTCAAGAAGGTGTCTCCAAGAGTCTCTAGCCGTGTTTCCATCAAGGTTTTTTAATGTGCATTTTGAAGTATCACATCAGAAAAGGTGAATGGAAACGGCATGATTTGAAAACACTTCCTCTAATTTGCATAAAAGTCGATACGCTCGCTTGAGGTGCTTTTTGTTTTTTTCCAAAAAATGTTAATGCGCGAAAGGACAGATGGATACACATTTGCCGAATCAGTTCTAATGTAGCGAACATTTACCTCACATGTTGATCAGCTGTTCTTGCTGTCTGTTCGAAACCGGTACTGGTACCAGAGCAACTGCAGCCGCAACTGCAGCTGGACCCTCATCCCGCTGACGGCGGGAGGAGAAATTGCATTTCCTTCTCTACGTCTCCAGACAGCAKGTAACATCGCCAGAACTAGCTGATGACAGAATAAGTACAACTTTCCCRATAGTAGCAACACATTCYTGATAACTTCTCTCCATTTTCCTGAGATGCGACTTTTACTTCCTGTTTACTACACGCATGCGTCTGACGTAACTGATTCACTTCAAGCCAGTTGATGGAAACACATCTGATTCGCATTTATTTGTTCTTTCCTTGCAAAWWTTACAAAATTCGCTCAAAATTTGAATTAGAATTGGATGGAAACACRGCTACTGTGTGATGGCCGTGGGACACCATGGACAGTTTATCACAGGGAGACATGGAGACAAAAAAACATTTACACTCTCATCTCAGGACAAAACCAGGAAGGAAATCTGAAAAGAACATTGAGAAAACATGTAAACTTCACACAGAAAGACCAGGAGGAAAACTTGTGACCTCACTGAGTGGCAACACCTCTAAACACTGCTCCACCATGCCGCCTACTGTAGAAAATCACGAGACCCTTCACTTCCAGTTTTGAAGCAAAATTCAGGGTTTGGATTCACTGGAAATCAATGAAAGTTTGGGGGTACTGGAGAGAAAACCATAAGTCCCGTAGCAGTAAGCCAAGAAGACAAAAATGTAAAAAATAACCTTTACCCTGAACATAGGTAAAAGACAACTGGATGGAGTTAGTAAATGGAGAATACAGTCGGCTCTGCTTTGCTTCCAAATGAGCAGAGAAACTACGGCTTACACTTARGTGGTGTAATTTACACGATACCAGCAGTTACATTTTTGATGTGATGCAATCAAATGACTCGCCTGTAAGTAAACATTTGAAACCCAAGACRCCTGCTGCAAAATCTTAAGGCAGGGCTAATCAACTAAATTGCTCCAGGGGCCACAATTACTGTAGGTCAACAGTTGAGGGGCCGAACATCCAGCAATTAAAGTCATTATGTAAATAAACCAAGTCTTACAAAGATCTGTTACCTTTGAATTAGTTTATTTTGCTGTATGTAATCATGAACAAACAGAACCCACAAAAATAGTGATAAATAAACAATATAAAAAAAACATTATGCCTCCTGATTAACACAAGTAATATTTTGACATCTCTGACTTGCCAAATTTTTAAACCAATTTTATTTTCACTTTCATCATTTTATCTTTAACTGATTGTAGTTTTAACTGTCTTGAGTGTTTATAGAAATTATTTTTACCAGCTTGTAGCCAAGATTCTGACGTTTCTGTAGATATCAAACATGCCTATGTTTAAGTAAAAGAACTTAGAGTAATTAAAGTAGAAAACTGGGGGTTTGGCGGGCCGGAGTTTGGTCACTCTCCAGTTGCATAGCCCTGTCTTAAGCGTTCCCACTGTGTCTCCAGTTTTGCCAYATATGTTAAATTTCAGCAAACAGCSCTTTTTTAAAGATTTAAACTGTAAGAATCAGTAGAAAGGGAGTTGCACCATAATTATTACAGTAGATTAGTTACGTGAGGTGACTACTTTCAGATTTGGACTTTCTGTGGGGTTTGTTTTCAAGACCTGCAAGCTCCTTGATGCAGAGAAGTACGTAAATACAAATTTTAATGTCACAATGACAGGCTGTAAATATGCAGCAGCGTGGATACAACCTYAATWACAATCAGATTAYTTTGAAACTTAAAACCCTAAAAAGGTGTACTTGGGTGTATTTTGATCATAATAAGGGGTAAGAGCCATTCTACGTCTACTGCTGCTCTCATCAGCAGATTGAGTCACAACCTCCAWACCTCTCAGTCTTACACTGAATAATGTTCTCTGAAAGCATGTTTGAGTACAAAAMCAGAAAGCCTTTTTCTGTGACTTTTGAACTGCCAGAGGAAGCATCAACAYGTTAAGGGATGTTCAGCCATTTAGCAGTACTGCCGTTTTGATGTCACTTGAAATAAATGTGATTGGTGTCCATCCTTCAGATTGCAATGGGAGCAAAAGCAAAGTTTGTGAGGTGGAGTAGAAAAATAATTAGTCCTATCACTGCTGTGTTKCTCTGTGTAGTTTTTATACCCTGTTGGTCAACAGAGTACTTTGTTGTTAAAGAGTCCTAAGTGAGCATAGATCCGCAGACAGGGATGAGATATGCTTTAAGGGTTTTCACAGATCTGCTCRTAAGTACCCTGCAGGATGGTACAATTAAAATGAAAGCTGAACATTCTACATCTCGCTTCTTGACAGCCTTTTGTCTTCCATCCCCCTGAAGAATTCTCTTTCTTTGTGTCTGGCTGTCTGTCAAGTGCCAAAGCTGGGAAAGATGTGGGGGACCTAATGAGTCCGTTCAGTTAGGGGGGGTTAGTCTTGGGCCAGAGGACAGGATTGTTGAGGAGTTTCTGTGTCAAAGAGCTTCTCTTTCTAATTGTACTGCATCACTGCACATCATGATCTCTCCAAAATAACTAGGAGATAAAACTTTTACCTGTCATTAAGCATAAAGGAGCTCTAATGAACCCATCAGCTTCAGGCTGAAGGGCAACACTGTGAACAGAAGACAGTGAAAAAATAAGACAAAGAATAAAACTTTATGAAAATGTATTATCATGATTGTACATTATGTCTATTCAGTAAAAATGATGGAGTATTTAAAGTTTTTATAACATATACAGTTGTGCAGTAGAGATGTGAAGACTTACATTAATTGATTCAYGATTCAGCAGCCGTGTGCGCAGATGAAACTTAGATATTGTATTGATTACTTTAATTAGATGACACATCTGCAACAGGTTAGTTTTTCAATCATCCGCCAACTGCTATTTCATTTTCAAATTTAAAATCAGACTTCAAATTTGGAGCAAAGCTTCTTGACAAGATAGTGCACAAAAATTGTAGTACAGTTTTTTTCAAAATATGAACGGTGTGGGTGTAGGGTTTTTTTTTTAAATCCACCCATGTTGGGGGGTAATATCATGATAAATTGTCCACACTGCGCAAAAAAATTAAAAATAAAATTAAAAATTGATAGTCATTGAGCCTTGAATGTGACCATATGCATATATTGTGAAGCATAGACTTGAATAAGATCACCAGACTGGGCCCCGCCCATACCATCCACTAGTAGCGTCTGTGACAGCCTGGAGGAGCAGAAACAGACCTAACAGAGCAACGGCTCACAGCCACTATAGAAACTAATAGATTAACAGCAGCTGAACTGGATCTGTTTCACAAATTATCTGTAATATTTTTACAATAAACTAATAACTTTGTTAAATTCATTCAACAATCATGTAAAACAGCWGATTCATACCAGAAAAATACATAATTTATAAGTAACAATGATCTAAACCAGACCTGAA